TCAGGATGGCTTGGGAAACAAATAAACTTGGGATTTCCGTCCTTCCTCAGGGTCTGGATATCCTAACAAGTGTTTCCAAGTCAACGCGCTCAGAACATGACTCCGTCCATAAAGTGCCTGCTGCTCGAGCATGAGGATCCAAGTTCAAATCCTCACAAGCCACATGAAAAGTAGGGCACGGGGCATGGCAGTGTGTGCCTATAGCCCCAGCCTTGGAGAGCAGCCAAAATAGGCAGATCCCTGGAGCTCATTAACCAGTCAGCCTAGCTGAATCGAGCTTCGGGTCCAGCGAGAGACTGTATCCAAAAATAAAGGTGGGGGTCGATGGAGGAAGAGACCCGACACCAACCTCCAAATGCACGTGCACACATAACAGGTGCGTGCGTGTGTGTGTGTGTGTGTGTGTGTGTGTGAGAGAGAGAGAGAGAGAGAGAGAGAGAGAGAGAGAGAGAGAGAGAGAGAGAGAGAGAGAGAGAGAGAGAGGGAGTTATTGAGTCGGGGAAAACTAAGAGCAGTGACAATTAAGACACTCCTTAACTAGCAAGGACTAAAAGAATAAAGTGTCTTTATTTCCCAACCCTGAGATAGTAGAGCCTAGAGTTAAGGAGCCAGGTACCAGGGTCACAGCAGTCTGGCTTCCATTCATTAGCTACTGATCTTAGGCAAAATGACCTCGTGGACCACTCCTCTAACACAGTACGGCAGTACTGCATGCTCCGTGGCAATGTAGAAGGGAATAGGTGAGCCAGTGTATGAAGGGCGCCCTGTCTGACATTCAAAAGCCCTTGATACATGCTAGATGTCCATCATACTGTCATCGCTGCCAGCATCTAACATAGTCCCAGAATCTCCTTTATAGGGTGACTTATAGGCGCACCCCCATACTGGGCATAACCCTGCATTCTTTCTGCCACCATGGTGACTTACGCCTTGCCAGAAATATATCATGTTCAGTCGCATGTTTGCAAATGACACATCATTAAGGGAGCACCTGAGGAACTAGGGCAAATCAATACAGTGCGAGCAAATGGCTGAAATCCCCCATCAGATGTTCCCATTGTTCTTGCTGGTACAGGAAGATGTTTGGGTGTTTGATTTGTATGTTTGTTTTTATGCTAGCTCTATTAAATCTGTTTGCAGCCTGAAGAATGCTTGCCAGACAAAGCAAGACACATGTGCCAGTTATGAGAGTCCTAGAACAGCTGCTGGCTTCAGACTTAGCCTGAAATGTGACAGGTTTTCCTAATGCCTGGGCTGCTTCTTGTTCTTTACAATGACGCGTATTCACTGGGAGACTAGATCGTTGCCTCCTTGGTCCAAGCTGCAGGACAGGTGACATGTTCAACCTCCTCAAGGTCCTTGCTCTGTGAGACTGTGTGCCCGGGTGCATCCACATGTACATGTTGCACCCTCCCATTCCCCTGACAGGAGGGCCATTTTCCCTGTGGATGAGCTGGCAGGAACCAGGAGAGTGATGGTTCTATAAAACCCAGTGGTTGAGAGTCAGGGCTTTGGAATCAGATGAACTTGAATTGGAACCCCCGCTCTAGCTTCTCCTAACATTGGCCTAGTGTCTTTGCTTCTCTGAGGCTCAGCACTCTCATGTTTAAAGTAGGGTTAGGGGATTGCGGCATGGTGATGCATGCCTGTAATCCTCGTACTTGAGAGGCTATAGCAGGAAGAGCATACATTCTATTTCCGCCTGGGCTAAATATAAGGAGATTGTGTCGCAAAAGAAGGGAGGGAGAGAAGGGAGGTGGTAATAACTTAGAGATACACCTCACAGGTGTGTAACTATTAAGTTTGACATGCCATTATAAGACTCGAAGCACAGTGACTGACCTCTATACACTTGTTAGTTCTTAGTGTTATTATCTTTCCTCTTGCCTTTTTAACTTAAGGGACATGGGCAGTTCACGGCTACACCACCACCACCAAAGAGGTCTCACTGCCTCCTAAGCATGTCATCCCTTTGACACTCTACTAAGGGTCCAATGGGAAGCTGAGAAATACAGCTAAAGCCCATTTCTAGAGTGAGAAAATCTGAGGATTGCAGGATGCAAGCCAAGGTCTCCACCAGGGTTAATAGACTAAGCTTGGGGTTCTTTGTCTTTTGTCCAAACCTCACTCCCTTGTGCTCCATGTGCATACTATGTATGCATGGGTGGGGTGCTAAGAGGAACCCCATAAAACTCCTAATCCTCAGATGCTCAAATCATTATATAAAATGGGTATAACCTATGAACGTCCTCCTGTATCCTGTAAGTCCTCTTAACTACCCATAGTACCTAACAGTGTCAGTACAGTGTAAGTAGACTGCTTTGTTTAGGAAACAGATGGCCAGAAACTCTATCCATGTTGAAGTAGATGCCTTCTTATGAATGTTTTTATTTTTTTTAAAACACAGTTGGTTGAATCTGTGGAGCCCATGGATCCAGAGAGCTGGAGAGTATTTACATCTCTGTCCCTCGTTCCTCAGCTCTGAGAGGTTCCTTATCTACTGACAATCTATATCTGTGATGTCAGTGGGGTCTTAAGGCCTCAGACTTTCTGGTGACTTTGAGAAAGCCTCTGTTTACCCATTTTCATAAATAGGGACAAGAAATGTGACCAAAGGATAGAAATGGGACTCATCAATTCCACCACTAACTAGCTTTGTTCTTTTTGACAAGCTGTTTGATCCCTCAGGGTTCCCTTTGCCTGGTCTACAAGTAGGCCAGTACAGCTGAAGTAATAGACATAAACAACATGACTCCATAAAGGATGGTTCTCCTTGATTGTATGGTAGCAGTGAAAGTCAGTTCTGTGATGGGCCGTCTTGGATTCAACTCTGTCAACAGCCTCTCTTGAAAGTCCTTGAGGTCCCATGCCACATCCCGCTCATTGGAGCCCTCCTCCCTTAGTACTTGCCCAAGTGGAGGCTGGTTGGTTATAAATGTACAGATAGATAACAGAACTTGTACCCAACATTACTTCACACACACACACACACACACACACACACACACACACACACACGTTCTAGCTACGGCAAGGAGCCATGAATTCCCCTGTCAAAAAGGAAAAGGGTCACTATCCTTGTAGACAATGGTTCTCTCCAAAGGTAGCAAACCATGGAATCCCTTTCCTTAGTGGCAGGTGACTCACACGATGCCTGGAGAGCTTGCATTGCCCCAGAGATCCGCGGAGCTGTTGCCTTGGCTGAGAAATCCCTGCTGAACTCTCTACTCAGTTGGAAAATGAGAATGTCCTTGGAAAGTCTGTCAGGACAGCCTCTGTGGGTGGCTGCATCCAGTAGCCCATGGTCTCTGAGTCCCTCCAGCAAGCTTTGGTGACTCACCAGCAGCCAGTCAGCCAACCAGGCCCCTGTCCAACCTGCCTCTGACTGCAGTCCCAGGAAAGTGGCCTCCCCACCCCCTCCAGCAGGGCACAAAGACATTGCTAACAGACCGTGGCAGTCTCATTTGTAAACCGTGTTCATCCAGCAGCCAAGAATGATCTGTCCTGATGCTCCCTTTCCTCTCACCCGCCCTTCCTCTTCGGGCTCCTGCTCGTTCCCCCTTCCTTTTGCCTAGAGAGTGATTTGTCTGTGTTATGGGTAGGCCTGACAAACCATTCCACATTAGCAGCTGAGATGTTGTTTGAAATGGGAAAATTGCTGGCAAACTGCTCCATTAGCGGGTCCAGTAACAAATACTCTGTTCCCCCAATGAAGATGAGATCGTGGAGGCACAAATTAATACGACTGTCTCCCCCACTCTGCAGTGAGGATTACTCTTCAAGATGAATGGATCCTCCTTGCCAGAAGTGTGCATCCGCTATCCACTAGACATAGCCGCTGAGGGAACTGGTCCCTCCCCTCTCTCCCTCCGGCAGCCCCCACACCCCCTTCCAAACATATTCATATTCATACTCTCTCTCTCTCTCTCTCTCTCTCTCTCTCTCTCTCTCTCTCTCTCTCTCTCTCTCTCTCTCTCTCTCTGTGCGTGTGCGTGTGTGTGTGTGTGTGCGCACACGTGTGTCTTCATCTTCCCAGCTGAGGGTTTGGGGAGCAGCCATGCCAAATGAGGAGCTGATGAAAAGATCTGCACCTTGGGGAGAAGGGAGATGGATAGGGATGAGGTACTGAGTCCTCAGCCCGGGCTCGGGTGTCATTTATCATCTGTAATAGAGCGTCCCACCTGCCGCTCATGCCTGTTTCTCACCACACCGGTTCTTAGCGGTGGGAAGGCATTTGAGAGATGAAATAATAAGACTGGAAAGGCTCACTTACTCCCCGTGGCCCCTTCTCCTCCCAGGAAGTTCTGGGCTCTGGGCCTGCAGCATCTCTTATTTTTCCCTGAGTCCTAAGAGTAAAAAGCATTTGAGAAAATTCATATGACGGACATATATGGCACACATTCCAGCAGCATCTTAGGAGTCCAGCTGGGGGCTTGCAGGCTCTCGGGGAGCCAGTATGGGGAGTGTCATGCTGAAAGCCTGAGGACTTTAAGGCTGTTTCACCCCAATATTAAAAGTGCCACAATGAAGTCAGCTGCTGACAGCTTTGCCCATTAGCTCTGCGGTTGAGATGTCAACTAAATAGCAACATGCTTCCATGGCAGGGAAACACGGCGGTCCCATGGTCTCTCTCTTTCCTCCTTCTCTTTGTGACATTGACTTTTTCACCACGTTGCTCGGTTGCTTCCTACAGCATTCTCTGAAGAGCACAACTGCCTCCAAAGGCAACTGCTGATAGTCAAGCACCGAAGTCCCTGATTCCTCTTTCCAGCTTCTTCCGACAGCTCTTGGACCCTTGGATGAGGCTCTGTAGGCCAACAGCTGAACACTGTGGCTATTGCGGTGTTTGTCTCCTACAACCAGGACATGGGACTTGTGCCCTTGTGCTTTTTGCTAAGAGACGCGGTCCTGTCCTCAAGGCCAGAGAATACAGTAACCCCTCAGTGGTCCCTTGGTGAGAAGTGGTTGGTTAATTGACTGTTCTCTGCTCTGTTCTCCAGACGCCTGGAGCAGAACTCCATCAAATCCATTCCTGCAGGAGCCTTCACCCAGTACAAGAAGCTGAAGCGAATGTGAGTTTCCCTTGGGAAGACATTATCAGAATGTTTCCATGGGCGGGTGGATGGGTAGAGGGACTTACGGTGTGTAGTAGGCATCCCACCCGATAGACAGATCACATCCACTCTTCTCAGACAGGTCTAGGCTGATCGCCTGGGATTGTGAGGAAATGTTACATACACTTGGTAAGGTTTGTGAGGTTCAGCACGTAGAGCTAAGAGCCTCTCTGACCAGAGAAAAGTGAAATTATCCTTGTGAGAGAAGCAGATGAGCTGCCCCACCCCCAGAGCCATATCGGCCAACTTTAATGCCCTTGGCTTTGGTGTTATCAACAGCAATGTGATAGTGGCTTCACATCTTGTACTACCATCATTCACATTCCTACAAACATGCATACACACATACAGTTAATACTTAATGAATGTCTGCTACCTGCCAGTCTGGATGGAGCATCAACAAAAATGAACGTTACATTCATGGAGGCTCCACTACAGTTGGGAGAGCACAAAAAATAAGGAATTAAGTATCAGAAATTGGTAAGCTGTCCTAGGCAACAGGAAGGGCAAAGGGAAGGCATGGAAATCATGCATGGTAGTTCATAGCCAATGGTTAAGAGCACTGGCTGCTCTTCCAGAGGACCCAGGTTCAATTCCCAGCACCCACATGGCAGTTCACAACTGTCTGTAACTCCCTGTTCCAGAGGACCCAACACCCTCACACCACACATACATGCAGGCATAAAATACAAATAAATAAATAAATTAATTTTTTTTTAAGATTCTAAAGGGAGACCCCTTTCCCTTTCCATGTTGGAAAACTGTTAGCCTAACCTGGTATTCAGTGTGCTGTTTTCATTCCACTGGAGAATGAAAAATATGCATGGACTCCATCGTGTTTTCCCTTGCATATCAGGTCTGTTCACTGATTTCCCTTGAGTGGGAGGAGCCTGTATCAACCAGGTTACTGAGTCCTTTCATGTTAAAAATAAATAGGCCCACGAAACAGTGGCATTAGCAGGCTTACCCTCCAATCTCAGGAAGCCAACTTCCCATCTCCCTGGAAAGCCAAAGCAAACAAGATTTTCTCCTAGTGCAATTCCCAAAGTGGAAACCCACATAATGAGCCAGCTCAAAGCACGGGCTCCTTCCCTCTCTTTGGCAGCATCCTTTCTGGAAGAGCTGTATAAATAGAGGCCTTAATATTTAAAATCTTGGGTCATTCATCTCTTGGTGTCTCTGCTTCTCCAGCTCACTCTCCATGCATCCCCCAAATTCATTTTTAAAGCCCAGCTTGATTATGTACCCAGATAGTAGTTTTGGTGAAAAATGACGAGTCCAGTGACTGCCTCCGAAGTTACCGTTCTGATTTTTTGTGAAGTCCGGGTAATTTAGAGCTTGGCTGTGTCTCACTGTCCTTTCTCCATCCTATTGGGGCTGCCCCAATGGGCACATTCAAAATTCATAAGACCGCATCAGTCACGACCTGGAGAGTGAATTTAATTTTTGATTACTTCTGATGCTACTGGTGTTTATTATCATGCCCCACGAAGGGGTGGAAGGCGGGGAAAGAATCCATTTAAACTTTTTTGACTAATAGAATTTCAAAAATATAGACTATTGTTTAATGGTGTGGGCTCCGATAAGTCTCAGAGGCAAATGGATTTCAGACCCTAATCACGATTTCCTCCTCGGTGACCATGAATAGTTTATACATAATATTTAACCGAAGGAAATTCCTCTCTCGGCTGTGACTGAACACATCCTGGTCTCTCTCTAAAAAATAGAATTATCCATGAATCATTGGCTCCACTCTTACCTATTTCTAACGGTCACCCCAATATTAAAATAAATTCTGCCAGGTGAAAACCCGTATCAGTAAGAGATAGGATACTGGAGACCATTTTCCTGGTTTTATAAAGTTGATCTGTGGACAGCCCTACCACTGAGGGCAAGTCTGTGCTCTTCTGCCAGAATGGCATTATAAGAGTTCTTTGAAGCCAGATGTGGTGGTACAGGTATAATCCCAACTCAGGAGTTGAGGCATTGTGAGTGATGAGTTTGAGGCCAACCTGATCAACATAGTCAGACCATGTCTCAAAACCAAACCAAATTCTTTTCATTTGCATGCACAGGGGTAGAACAAATCTTCCACAGGTTGTAACATTTCCTAGTCTCGTATTTATTTTTTTATTCCCTGCTTATCCCTTCTATGTACTGAAGTTGCTGTTCCAGCCTGGAAAAGCTGGTCTCTCTTAGTCATTCAGTTTATAGCTGCAGGGGACTGAGTAGGTCTCAGCATGACTAGATTCTGAAACAAGTGTAGTATGACCGAGGGATCTCCTGCATGCACACTTCTTACAGATTTAGTAAATACACAGATTTATGTTTTCTGGTGCCCTGAACACCTGGCTTAACAAATCAAATGACTCTGGGATTTGAACCATGACCAAGACTGTCTGTACTGTGTCCAGCTTAGTGACATCAGAAACAGCCTTGAGCTGAAGGTCTGGAGGTAGAGATGTCTACTCATTACCCAAATGCCTGTGTCAAGGCCTTAACAGCTTCAAGTCCTTAACCTCTCAGGGTGGTTTTCTTCCTACAGTCTTTAAATGTGCCATATAGCCTCACTTAGAGATCCTTATAGTCCTACTTAGAGATCCACATAGTCCCTCTTAGAGATCCATATAGTCCCACTTAGAGATCCATATAGTCCCACTTAGAGATCCATATAGTCCCACTTAGAGATCCATATAGTCCCACTTAGAGATCCATATAGTCCCACTTAGAGATCCATATAGTCCCACTTACTTAGAGATCCACATAGTCCCACTTAGAGATCCATATAGTCCCACTTAGAGATCCATATAGTCCCACTTACACATCGCGTTGGTTACCTTTTTCCCTTCTGTGACTAAACAGCTTGAAGACAGAGGGGTTCATTCTGGCTCCCAGTTTTAAAGGATTCAGGGGCTGGAGAAATGGCTCAGCAGTTAAGAACACTGGCTTTTCTTCCATAGGACCTGGTTAGATTCCCAGCACCCACATGATCAGAAGCCATCTGGAACTACAGTTCCAGGGAATCTGATACCCTCTTCTTACCTCTGCACATACATGGTGCACAGACAGACATACATGCAGACAAAACACCCATCTATCTGATTTTTTTTTCATTAAAAGGCATATAGCCCATCATGGCGGGAAAGCCATAAAAGTGATGGCTGACGATGGCTGTTTGAGTTAGCAGTCACGAGGCAGGGAGAGATGGATGCTGGTCCTCAGCTGGCTTTTCCCCTTTCCCCTTTTTATTTAGTCAGGGACCCCAGCCCATTGAAGGGTGCCACTCACATTCAGAGTCCATTTTTCCATCTCAGTTAATCCATCTTGAAACAGCCTCACAGACACAGCCAGAGGTATGTCTCCTAGGTGATTACCAAATCCAGTCAAGCTGACAGTGGAGATGAACCATCACATACATGAATCTCAATTTCCAACTCAGAGAAGCAGCAGGTAGGATGACACTCAAGGGGCCATGGTGGAGATGGAGTGGTGGTAATGGAGAGATGTCCAAGGATACAGAATCTCAGTTGGGCTAGAGGAGGATGTTCAAAAGATGTATCCTATACCATGTTGGCTATGGTGAATAGCAGTGTGTTGTTTACTTAAAATTTTCTGAAGGTAGGTTTTAAATGTCCTTACAAATAACAATAGAGAACTTCCTAGGGTTTGAGTGTGATAAACAGCTTGATTTAGCCATTTCACAGTGAGCACATATTCCCAAACATCACATTACAAATTTATAAATATATACAATAAAAAAATTTAGGGGGGAAAAGGCCTAAGTGACTACCAGTGTCTATTCTCATCAAACTATCACTTTTCTGGTTCCCATCATCCATCATTTCCAAACTAGAAGATTATCTCACCTCATGTTATAGCCCAAGGAGAGTTGAGCCCCAAAATTCTCATTGTGACTAAAACCCCAATCTGTCCCCACACAGCTGAGGTAGGAATCTTTCCCAATGGCTGGGGGACTTCCTGTATGGTAGAGGTCTGAGCCCCGTGAATGGACATCCCACGACAAGGAGGGAAAACCCAAAATGGGCCTCCACGCTAATGTGAGCAGACCCTGTGTGCTGTTCTAAAATGCTTTCTAGGCAGCCACCCTGAGGGTGAGCAAGATTAGGATAATCCAGGGTATTTGCTTGTTAAGACCCTTATACAAAAATGGAGCGCCGAAGAAAAGCCCAGTGTAAGCTGACAAGTTTGCGAACGCAATCTGGATTTGTTTGAGGCGATCTCACCAGCTAAAGGGATAAACCAGACAGCTGTGCAAGAGGGGCCTTAACCTGGGAAATATCTTTCAACTTACAGGCTTTGGAAGGAGGACAGAAGGGAGCAGAGGTCTAGGCAAAAGTTGTTGCATGGCCTTTTTCTAGGCTGTTAGATGAAGGAGGTAGACAGGACAGAGGTTTTCCTTTTGTGTGAGCTTAAGAGGCTGGTGCGGCTGGGTGGCTGGCCCCACTGGCGGCCATCATTTACGAATCTTCTCAGATGTGTCTCCTCCTGTTGGCCTGGGATGACCTCAGCCCTCCTTCTCCTGCACAAAAGCAAGGACCCATTGATTTATTTTGCTGAATGGCTGAAGTTTCTTGTCGGAGGAAATTGGTGCATCCTTCCTGCCAGTGACAGGAGCCCAAAGGCCAGCCCTGAGCTAATATCTCTGAGGAAAAGAAATCCCCCTCCACAAGGGCCGTTAGCAAGAGCCTGTGGCCCAGTTCTCACTGGGATGCTGCAAGCACACGGCAGAGGGCTCCCTGCATCTGCGAGCCTAGACAAGCTATTGCACCGGCAGCTTTGCAATCTGGCTTAGCCGTGGCACCTGCACCTGCGAGGCCAGGCTAGCCACCGTGTGCACTGTGTTTGGAAGACCCTTCTAACACAGAGCAGCCCTCTTAAACTCGGGATGTGTCACCTCCCTAGGCTTGTTCCCAGATGAGGAGCATTCCCAGCCAGTGACACATCCACGTCTCAAAGGCATTCTTTGAGAGTCTTGTGATTTGCTTATATCACACAGCTAAGAGGAAGCTTCATCTGTCCTCCTTCAGGTCAGAGATGAGAAATGACTGGGGAGGCGAAATGCCACAGGGCTTTCCATAATCCTTACCAGGGTACAAGACAAGAAAGCAGTGCATCAGGGAGCCTGGCCTGACCTTTGGGTGGGTGGAGCCCATGCTGCTTTGTCTCTACTGTTAAATACTTAATAATGGTACCTGAGACCAAGGCCCTGGCTTGAAGTTGGTTTTGGTTTGGGGTTCTTTTGCGGGGGAGGGGGGAGGGGTGGGGGTGTTTGTTCGTTTGTTTTGTTTTAGTTGGTTGGTTAGGTTTTTGTTTGTTTTGTTTTGTTTTATTGAGACTGGGTGTCATTGTGTAGCCCAGGCTGGCCTCTAACTCCCAGTCCTCCTGCCTCAGCCTCCAAAGTGCTGGGATCAGGGGGCATCAGCATGCCCAAGAAGCACAGCTTCCAGATGTGGCTTTACACCTAAACAGCAATGACCTACATATTCATAGCCTTTTGTGCCAGGCAAGACTTAAGTGGGCATCCCTTAGACCCCGAGAAGACATGCAGAGGAATACTTTACCCCGAGGCAGTAGGAGACGTGTTCTTTAGGTATTGCTTCTTGTGCTGTGAATAAATTGCTTGATTGATCAATTACTCTGTACCAGTTTTGAATGGCTGAACTGCTGGGTGCATACTTCAGGAAGAGCCTTATCACACCTGTGAGCCGTGTTCTCAGACTTTCCCATTAATGTTTTCAGAGACATCAGCAAGAATCAAATATCGGACATAGCTCCAGATGCCTTCCAGGGCCTGAAATCACTCACATCGCTGTAAGTGGGGCCGGGGTGGGAGGTGCGTCCGTATTTTTCAGGAGGTGTTTATCAAGGCTTTATGTTCCCTTACACACTTGTGGCAATCTGGTAAAAGAAACAAATATTTCTTCAGGGGAAATTGATCTTGGGGAATATTTCTACAACTCACATGCATTATTTTTATTGATTAAGTGCCCAGCGGCTTTCCCAGTTATCGGCTTCTAATTCGAATGCATCTTGACTCTCACCTCACCCCCCTCCCACCCCACCTCACCCCCCCCTCCCACCCCACGTTGCCCAGTGCTGTCTCGGGAGAGACCGGGAGATCGGGTGGAGAGAATGGTAATATATGTCTGAGAGGAGGCCATGGCTCACCGCCCCTCCTTCCACGGTCTGGGGCCTTGTCGAGGAGGGCAGCATTTCCTTTTTTCTGATTTCCAGGCTATTCCAGCCTCGTAGTTAGTGTTCAGAAAGGATCCACCCCATCCCATGACCCTTCCTTTCGTGGATTTTTAAAGCCCTTTTTTTTAGCCCTGTGGTGAGATTCAAAGCCTCACCCACCAAGGGCCCCTGGACTCCCAGGCTAAGAGAGTGTGGGGTTCCCCTCCTTCCCTCAGCAGCTCCCTCAGGGCAGAGGCAGTCAGTCCCTGGGGCCTTCTCTGCATGTTTCCTCAGGCAAAATGGAGACAGTGGACCTGCCTTGCCTAACACAATGGATGATTGACATATCACAGTAATAACAATAATTGACAGCATTTATCAGGCACTGATTGATGCCGGTACTTTTGTGGGTTTAATCCTCATAAAAACATAATCGGTGGCATCTACTGCCATGGATCTAAGCTCCTTAACTGGTTTTGTTCCCGTCGGGAACCCTGGCACCTCAAACTGTACCTAGCACGCAGTGACTGAAGAAAAGACTCTGGGCCGGGGAGGTAACAGTGAGCTCACTCCCTGCTGCTCAAGCGTAAGGATCTGAGGCCGGATCCCTAGCATCCACACAGAAGCAGAGACACAGTGGTGTACAGCTGTAAGCCAGCCCTGGGGGGTGAGGGGGAAGATGGGGGGCTCTCGGGAGCTCACCGGTCATCACTCCAGGTTCAGTGAGGGGCCCTGTCTCAAAAACTGAAATGGAGAGCCATAGAGGAATATAACTGACATCAACTTCTGGCCTGTACACATACACACAGGTGAGCCACCACACACACACACACACACACACACACACACACACACACACACACACACACCCTGTGCCTATACACACACTCACTGGCATACATCACAGAGAGGGAGTAGGGAGGAAGGGGGAAGAGAGAGAGAGCATGTTAAATTAGTGAAAAACAACTTCTGTAAAAACACACTAATGAGTCTGAGAGAGAGGATTTGAGCCCAGCATGTTTGGTCTAGAATTTCACTCCTGATCCCCATGCTGTGGAGCCCTCTTCACGTAATGTGGGAGCTGTGGCATCAAAAATGGTGATGGTTTCACCAGTTTTTATATTTGTGTCATCTAGTACCTTGTTCCCTTCGACACCCCAGACAATAAAGAGGGTGTTCACAGGCATGCAATCCGCGTTTTGCCTCTTCACAACCTGTTTGCCTAGTTTACGAGCATGCAGGTAACAAGACATACATATCCTCCCATCCCACTGGGCAGGGGCCGAGGACAGGAAGTCCCTGATTCAGCTGGTGTCTGCTGCCTGCCGAGTAAATTAGTTTCATTTATCGAATAGAACATCTGGCTGGGATATCAAAGACAGGGCCGTGTGTGAGATTAGTGTCTGCTTATTGTGATGAGTGTCACAGAGGAGAGGAGACAGAGAGGCCCCTACTATCAGGATCCCATCTTAACCTTCCCGTTCCCCTTGTCTGGCTCCCTTAGCTGACATTTGGGAATGGTCTCAAGATAGTAGGATGATTCCTGTCTTGCAGAAGAAATTCGAAGTCTGATTGCCAAACAGGAAATTGGCACACCATTAGTGAACTCAGAGGTGTGTGCCAAGCTTTCAGTGAAGTACCTCTCCACTTTTGTTTATCCATTCCTCCATTTAGCAGGTACCTGCTCTGTAAGTGAGCGGAATTATAGGCATTAAGAGTATGACCAGGAACTGAATAGAGAAGCCACCAGGGCTCATGAAGCTGACCGTGTAGGGTAAAGGGATGGAGAGCCTTTACCCCAGATCTGTTCATTCATTCAGACATTCTTTCAGCTGGCGTTTATTATACTAGACCTTGCTCTTTCTCCACTCTAGAGACCCAGCCAGGGGCATGCCCTGTAACATCATCACATTCAGGAGAGTTAAGAAGAACTCTAAAAACTAAGAGAAGAACATAAAAACTAAGCCTGACGGGGCTGGAAAGCTGGCTCAGCAGTTAAGAGCACTGGCTGCTCTTCTAGAGGACCTGGGTTCTGGTCCCAGCCCCTACATGGCAGCTCACAACTGACTGTAACTCCAGTCGCAGGGGATCTGACATCCTCTTCCGGCCTCTGCAGGCACCAGGTGCACACGTGGTGAACAGACAGACACACAGGCAAACCACCCATACATATAAAATAATGAGAATAAACTAAGCCTAAATAAATGTGTGAGTAATGTAAGCTAATATGAAGGTAAGTGCTAGGGAGAGGCAAAATAAGATAATAGATGGTAGAAAGTCTTAGCTAAAACGTTTAGGAGTCTTCTGCAGAAGGAGAGGTGTTTGGGCTCAGATATGAAAGGCTAGTGAAGGTAATCAAGGCAAGGCCTCAGGTGAGCAGCCACACGGATCTGCTGGCGGGCACCTTGAGACTGATACAGAGGCAGGTGATTGACCCACTAGGTTTGAGGATGCTCCATACTGAGGAGTGATGGACTGCCTGAGGACCCCTAGCCCAGCTTCCCTGCTCCCACTGCCAGCAGCTTCTGCCTCTCTAGAAGCTCTGACGTCCATTGAGACGAACAGGCAGCGGCATCACTACATTTGGCGCAGTGAGCAGTGGGACATTAATATGAATTACAAATGTGAGCCTGCGCCATCATGCTGACTTCTAGTTAGTCATTAATTTGTTGAAGCATTAATGAAACACACCCGCAGGCTGATGGAGAACTCACTCTTCGCTCCCAGTGACTTCTGGAAATGGGCATCGGTGGGGGAGAGGGGTCTCTTTCACACTCATTCACTGTTGACCGTCAGCCTAGATTCGAGATCTGAGTGGGAATTTAAATAATTTGCATAGATAGCCCATGAACTTAGACCTGAGAAGGGGTTTCAACAGAAGCAGCCCAAGCCCTCTTTAGCTCTGTTTCCTGATCAACGGGGAGGCTGGACCCCAAGGACAGCAAAGTCTATCATGAGATGAAGCAAAGAGAGGCCCAGAGAGCCTCAGTTCCAGGTTTACAGACCTGCTAGGTACTGGGCTTGAAAGGTAAACCCATATTCCTTTCCCAGGCTTCTTAAGTCACCAGACATGAGGCCTAGAAATAGCAGGGGGACATTGTGGGCCTGAGAGATGAAATGAAAAATAGAAAATCTAAGTTCCTTTCTTCTTAGATCTAAGAGAATGGGGCAGGCGGATAGAGAGTGGAAGCTGCCATCATCTGAGACAGCGAAACGCCTCAGCCTCCCCATTGAGTCAGGCCTCAACTCAGCAATGCCTGCACCATCTGGAGATGCCCCCGCACACCCCGCACACCCGTAGCCCTGCTGTCTAGATGGGTGATTAAAGAACTCAGCTCAGGAATTCCTAGGATGCAGTGGGATATTAAAAGGAAACATTCTATAGGCTGGCTCAGCCTGATCAATACCCATTGAAGACACAGGCTGGCCTCCCACACTGCTTATTTACTGTGGGGGGGGGGGTGAGTCACCCTAGCAGCTCAGGAGGTACCACAAAGGGCTGCTCCTTCCTTGTGGGGGTGATGTACTGGGCTGGGCTGGAGTGCAGCAAGATGGAGCCTGTCGTACCTCGCCTCCAGGACGGCACCCCCAGCACGGGATGAACTGCCTGCCCCTGTCTCTGTGATAAGAAGATGGGATGGATGTGGCGGATCAGGGAGGCGGGTGACCTGAGATCTTGCCCCGGGGACTGGCAGAGGTGATCACCTCCTCTAAGTCCTGCTGATTACTGTCGTTTGCTTTCTTCTAGGGTGCTCTATGGTAACAAGATTGCAGAGATTCCCAAGGGACTGTTGGACGGGCTGGTGTCCCTACAGCTGCTGTGAGTAGGAACCAGCGGTGTTTTACACTCTCGTGACTGTTTTTGCAGCCTGGAAATGTTAAGCCATGCTCTGGAGAGTTCTTTTGACTTTATGCCTATCATACTGACACCAAAGCCTCTGTGCATTCCATCTCTCCTCTCCAAGGCCTCATTTTTTGTGGCCAGAGAGGCAGAGTGCTGGCAGAGAACACCAAGGCCAGTCAGTGTACATCAGCCTAAATGATGCCGTCCAGAACCCTGGCCCTCGCGCGCATGCGCGTGCCGTGAATAGGTTCGTGACTTGGAAGTAAGAAGGAATTTGAATCCTGCAAGAGGAAATATCTTACAGAGGTGTACTAAGAATTTAGGGAACTAAAACCTTCCCAAGGCAAACTCTAGTCTGAGAGCTGAAACAGCTGCCTGTGGGCATGTGACCTTGCGAGGGGTGCGGGTGGGGAGAAGCCATTAGAGAAGAAGCGTAATCAGTCAGCAGTGCGACTGTCTGGGAAGGCAGGCTGAGGGGAAGTGTTTATTTCATTTAAAGGAAGATATGTTGCCTCGAGTTTTAAGCTCTGGGCTTGTTTCATTCTGGTCATTTGGGCTTAAATGTTTGAAGAAGATAATTGAACTCTGATGTGGAGAAATAGAGAAAGGAATTCGGCTTATTTAGAAGGTTTTTATGATGAGCAAGAATCATCCCTGGTTTGTGATGAGGTAGCTGATGTATCTGCACTCATGTGTTATGGTTTGGGGAGTGTGTGTGTGTGTGTGTGTGTGTGTGTATGAGTGTGTATGCACACGTGCACAAATGAGTATATGACTGTGATAATTCCTGTCGGTATTAAGAATTGACCTTGAGTACCCTGTGAGCATGCCAACTCTCAGAGAGGTAAATGACTTGCCCTGCATCACACAGCAAAATAAGTGTAAAGAGTACTCTCCATGGTCATATGTTCCTAAAGGCTTCCAGCTCCCTGAATAGCGTGTGACAGGATTTCACTGGCCTTCATCTGAGTACAGATTTGCATGTAATTTTTTTTTTAATTGCATGTCTTAAAAAAAAAAAAAAAACACCAATCACTTCCAAGTCAGGCAAGGTGTTGTATACCTTTAATTCCAGGGCTTATGAAGCAGAAGAGTCATGAGTATAAGGCCAGGCTAGACCACATTTGGTCCATGAGGGAGGAAGAGAGAAAGATCTATCATCTCCATTTCCCAGTGAAAAAGAGGTTCCAGACTCCCTGCCTCCCTTGTACAGTTAGGAGGTGCCAAAATCTAAGTGTATGGACCAGCCCGATCTCTGGAAGGGGAGAAGGCACAGGACCACAGACACAAAGCAGGAGGTGGGACACGTCTAGAAAGAAGTAAGATTTCCTCTGACCCTCCCATCTCTTCACACCCTAAACTCCCAGGTCTCTGGACAGATTGCCCCAGGATATAGAACAACATTGAAATGAAATGACCATCCAGTTCCTGGGCTGTAGGTCCAGCACAGCAGCTGTCAGACTAGTTTGATAAAGCCGAAGAGCAGAGAGAGAAAAACCTCTCTGTTCCCTCCATCTTCCTGCCTTCTCTTCCACTTCCATCTCATTCTGCCTGGCTGTAGGTGAGCGGATCTGAGTTCAAAGGTCCTAGCCCTTCCTGAGTCTTTAAGGCTGTTTTATAGAATGACATGCCAGGGCTCTCTGCAAGGATCTGGGCATTTCACAGATGGTGTTCTTTGCTCCTAGCAGGGAAACTAAGTTATAACTGCTACCACAAGGCTGGTTAACTGTAGCCATTAATCCCCAGAAGAAGAAGAATAGCATCTGCCTGGAGGTGGGTTTGGGGGCGCTGTGGCCAGCCAGGCTGGTGTGAGTGACCTTTTATGATAGACATTGAAAGAAAAAGGTCATGCCCGTTTACACTAAGGAGAGATGGATTGGACATCAAAGTGCCCGGCATTGTGAATGGTGTGTATCAAAAATTCTAGAACGGCGTATTTTTAAACAAAGGAAATGTGTCCCTGCTACAAGCTGACAGCAGTCGGGAGGTGACAGGCCCCCCTCCCCGGGCTTGAAAGGCAGGCCAGCTGAACAGAACCACTTTGAGCAGATGGAATTGACTAGCTAGGGGGTAAAGGCAACGCTTCTCCCTCTGTGGAGACCAGGAGTTGACACACTCAGGCTGGCTTTCCAGAAAAAACCCCGCAGGCCGGGCTGGCGTCCATCATCTCTGGTTCTGGCCTGCTGTTGAGCAGTTGGAAAGCAGGTCCCCGTTAGATCGAATTTAGGGTTCAGCGGGCTGTAGATTGGATTTCTGCTCGTTTGGCTGGAGATAGTCTGATAAGAAGGCTCTGATTAGAATACCCTGGTTGACTGGATAATTTCATCTTCTTTGACTCAGAGGCAGTCCATGGGAGTTTTGTCTCCCCCGCCCCCTCCTCCCTCTCTCTTGAATGATGGGTCAATCTGAAAGTGGAAATGTCCCTTCCGTGCCTAGGGGTCCTGGATATTTTCTTCCTGGCACTTCCTGTGGCACTAACAGGGACCAAGTGGATGTTTGTGCTTGGTTAGTCTGCCCCCCTTTCCTTCCTGGTTGCTCTGGACTTAGCTGCCATCCTTCCAAATATGCCCGGTTCAGGATGCACCCAGACAGGCCACTTCGGCTGTTTGCTTGCCATGCTCCTGTGGACAGATGATCAACACTAATAGGAGTTCAGTATCCTAGGTTCTCTCAGAGACTTCACCAAATGGGTTTCTACGGGCAAGCTTTAGCTGTCCCTGGAGTTGACCCTGAACTTGAGAGGTGTTGTCCCCTGTAACCTCCCAAAGGTTACATCCTTAGCTTAATGTCCAAGATCTTGGGTCAAATGAGCCTCAGGGCTACACACACACACACACACACACACACACACACACACACACACACACACACACACACACGGGGGGGGGGAGAGGGGGGGAGGGAGAGGGAGGGAGGGAGATAGGGGGAGGCGAGAGAGAGAGAGAGAGAGAGAGAGAGAGAGAGAGAGGAATCATAACACATGAGTGTAGCTGTACTGGCTGGTGCTGCAATCCCACCATGCCTTCTCTGACAAATCTGCCTGTCTTCCCTTGGCTGATGGTGTCTATAATAAGTCCTCACTGCACAGTTGGAAGTTGAAAAGCTCATTCTTAAACTGAGCCTCAGTCCCCGTTTCTAAGAAACTCAGAAGTCTGTTGTCATTGCCGTCAGATGTGTTTGAGTAGCTAGTGTACCTCCATGTAATTAATCCCGAGAAGGTCCAGTTCCGGCAGTCGTTCACTGGGTAAAGATGCACGCATTGTTTGCCACTAGCATCGTTCATTGTTCCAGCTGGGAGATGGTCTATGAGCTTCCTTGTTAAACCTGGCTGCCAGGGAGGGAGTTGGGTGACCCAGGGAGGCACCTAAGAAGCCAAAAAAGTGTCCCCTGCATGTCATCGTAACTGCTTTCCCCCCATCCCCCTGAGCTCTTGGGGCATCTCAGTTGACGGGCATCTAATCCTGTGTGGGCAGCCGGCAGGTAGGCATGCCCTAAGAGGCTGCACTTTGTAACTTAGAGGCCCATCGTCTGCAAGGCAGGAATCGCAGTCAGTGTGTCACTAGGGCTGTCATTTCCCTCTCTGATGGGCAGCTGCACGTTGTGCTGTCACAGCTCTCCCTGGGGAAAGGAGAGCTTTCATTTAACACTCATTGATTTCATGGCATGCCCTGGAAAGTTACTGGACTGGAGGTGGGGTGGTACAGGGCGGGTATCAGAGGTGGAAGCTTTTCAGCCTGCTCCAGGAGGTTCTCAACCAAACCAGACTGCCTTCAGCCTGGAGTAAGTTAAGGCACCTGTGGTTTCGTTTTCTTGGAAGGCAGACAGAACCATTTGAGGCTCTTGAAGTTTGCCAAGCAACATGCCAATTACAGAGCAGTGAACACAACTTCACTCCACAGAGATCACGTTCCCTCAGCGGCAGCTTCACACGCACGTCCTTCTGCTGCTGCTATCCAGGACACCTAGCAGTGACTGGGTAGTTAATATTCCCCGGGGCTAGTGCTAAGCAGTGACGACAGATGCAGAGTCTTATTTAATCTTCTCAACAATGCTACAAGGGAAGTATTTTGATCGAGGCCCATTTTACAGATGAGGAACTGGGGGTTAATTAACTTTGCTTTGATCGCTCATATATAAGTTGTAGGACCAGGAATCTAGGAGCTCTTTGTTTCCAGAGACACAGAAGTGAAGCTGGGTGGGAAGAAGAGTCCTCTCCTGCAACAAAAACAGCACATTTCAGTGGTGCATTTTTAAGAGGAGTCTTCCCTTTCTTGTGAGTCTGCATTTCCTAAGGAAAGCCTTAAGGTCTGCAGTGTTCTGTGTAAGTGGTTCCCTCTTCTTAAAGGCCTGATTAGTCACCAGGCGGCAATCATACAGGGAAGTGACCACCCCAATACCTGTGTGTCGGGGGGGGGGGGGGCAGACCAAGTAGAGCTAAAATTGGCAGGGTCACTCGAGTGCCCAACAGCTAGGGCATAGCCCTCTCTAGGCTCTGGGTCTCAGCTCTCCTCTGATTCCGTTAGGAAAACCTTACCTGTTCCCAGGGCCTTCCTGTGTCCCTGGAGTGGATAGATAGACATGTTTCTCAGATAGGCCACCGGATGGCGATGCTGTATGCTGCATGCTTTTGTTTCAGTTCCTTCTGGCGTCACCATGATAACCCAAGGCCAGTGACAACAGTGTAGCCATGAGCAGGAGCGAAGGAAAGAGACACCTCTGCCACCTTTCAAGTCGGAGGGGTCCTCCTGTGCCCTCCTGTGAGTGTTTGGCATAACATGGATCAGAGCACCCGTCACAAGCTCCAGGAAGAGTCTGATCGTGGCCAGAGTGCCTCCATACTGTGGCAGTAGAAATCAGTCAAGTCTTCCTCAATCTGGCGTCAGCAAGTTGCTGAAGGTCAAAATTAATTCCCCATATTTCATAGGCGAGAGGAACATGAAAAGAGATTAATCCTGTTACACTTAGTGGATAAAGAA